GCAACACCGCACGAGATTGAATGTGGAGCGATACAGACAAGCGCGGAACAGACAAAACTCGGTTTTCCGAAGGAAGAAGCGTCAGCAGGAAGATCGAGATCGCGAGGCGATGGAAAATCTGTACCGCGTAAACGACACACGGAAGTTCTACGAGAAGCTAAATAGTTCGCGCAAAGGCTACGTGCCGCAAGCCGATATGTGCAAGGACTTGGACGGTAACCTTCTCACGAACGAGTGTGAGGTGATTGAGAGGTGGAAGCAGTACTATGACGAGCACCTCAACGGTGAAGCAGCAGAAAACGAAGGTGGCACGGCAACAGACCTTGGAGCACGCGCAGAAGACGACAGGCTACCGACCCCTGATCTTCAAGAAGTTGAGGAGGAGATCGGTCGGCTGAAGAACAACAAAGCAACTGGTGTAGATCAACTACCAAGTGAGCTATTGAAATACGGTGGTGAAGCACTGGCTAGAGCGCTGCACTGGGTAATTGCCAAGATTTGGGAGGAGGAGATATTACCGGAGGAGTGGATGGAAGGTGTCGTATGCCCAATCTACAAAAAGGGCGACAAGTTGGATTGCTGCAACTACCGCGCGATCACACTGCTGAGCGCCGCCTACAAGGTACTCTCCCAAATTCTATGCCACCGTCTGTCACCATATGCAAGAGAGTTCGTGGGGCAATACCAGGCGGGATTCATGGGTGCCCGCGCTACCACGGACCAAATTTTCGCGATTCGGCAGGTTCTGCAGAAATGCCGCGAATACAACGTGCCCACACATCATTTGTTCATCGATTTCAAATCCGCATACGACACAATCGATCGAGATCAGCTATGGCAGATTATGCACGAGTACGGATTTCCGGATAAACTGACGCGATTGGTCAAGGCGACGATGGATCGAGTGACGTGCGTTGTTCGAGTATCGGGGACACTCTCGAGTCCCTTTGAATCTCGAAGGGGGTTACGGCAGGGTGATGGACTTTCGTGTCTGCTGTTCAACATCGCGTTAGAAGGTGTGATCAGAAGAGCTGGGATAGACACGAGTGGCACGACATTCAGGAAGTCCATCCAGCTCCTTGGTTTCGCTGATGACATTGACATTATGGCACGGAACTTTGAGATGATGGCGGAAACGTACATCAGACTGAAGGCTGAAGCTAGACGGATTGGACTTGCCATCAACGCATCAAAGACAAAATATATGAAAGCAAGAGGTTCTAGGGAAGACAATGTTAGCCTCCCACCCCGAGTTCAGATTGACGGTGACGAAATCGAGGTGGTCGATGAGTTCGTGTATTTGGGCTCACTGGTGACCGCCGAAAATGATACCAGCAGAGAAATTCAAAGACGCATTATGGCAGGGAATCGTGCCTACTTTGGACTCCGGAGGACGCTCCGGTCGAATAAAATTCGCCGCCGCACGAAGTTGACTGTCTACAAGACGCTGATTAGACTGGTGGTCCTTTACGGCCACGAGACCTGGACTATGCTCGTGGAGGACCAACGCGCCCTTGGTGTTTTCGAACGGAAGGTGTTGCGTACCATCTACGGTGGAGTGCAGATGGATGACGGAACGTGGAGGAGGCGAATGAACCACGAATTGCACCAGCTGCTGGGAGAACCATCCATCGTCCACATTGCAAAAATTGGGCGACTACGGTGGGCTGGGCACGTCGTAAGAATGCCGCACGACGACCCAGTGAAAATGGTTCTAGAAAGCGACCCAACAGAAACAAGAAGAGGCGCGCAGCGGGCAAGGTGGATCGACCAAGTAGAAGGTGACCTGCGGACCCTTCGCAGACTACGAGGCTGGCGAACTGTGGCCATGGATCGAGTAGAGTGGAGACGACTTCTTCGGACAGCAGAGGACAACAAGGCCTTAGCCTGATTGGTAAGGTAAGGTAAGCACTTTACATCTTCAATTGAGACGGCAAAAATCAATTTGCAATATTGCTGAGTGATTAAATTCTAAAAACAATAAAACGAATAAGAAAATTATACAGCAAATAGAGCAAGATATTCATTTGGTATAGAATCACTCTTTTTTAATGGTTTATTCTGAAATTCTGGTGTAAAAATTTGTTTCTATGGTATGGTTAATTTATTTTCCCGGTTCTCTTGTCGAATTCCCGGGTTTTCCCGGTTACTTTTCAAATTCCCTGATATTTCCCGGTATTCCCGGTTTGCTGGCCACCCTGATTCTATTTAAATCTGGTTTCTGCTACAGTGGTAGAAAAGCTGAAATCTATGTTTACACCTAAACATTTGAAAAGAAATTATTATTTCTATATTATAAGTCTATTGAGTTGTCCTTAAGTTTTCTACTAACGTAGCATCAACCAGATTTAAATAAAATGCTTCATTTGCAATAAAAACATTTTAAGATTGCACTCGTATACATACCGTGTAAAATTAGTCTAATAACCATCATAACTCTCATTGTTTGCGAGCAACAAGAAACACAGCGGATGCAGCCAATTAAAACGCACTGACTGGGATTTAGATACTCCACGGTGCTACCAATCGGTTGAGTGTGGTGGCTAGTGGTAGTGAACCGATTCGCCGCGGTCACTCACTACTACGCACGAACTGCACGGAGAAGAAGAGAGTTTTTCGTCGAAGAATGTGGGAAGTAGGATTAGGAGATAGAAATGTAAATATAGAAAATAAGTTAGTCTAATAAGCACACCGTCGCGAGTAGTCGACCGGGGGCGAACCCCGTACGAAATTATTGTTTAGTTTAAGTTCAATAAATGTAGTGTTCTTGCAATAAATTGTATTTTGTGTGAAGATTGGTGTAGTGTTCTGTATGCGGTGAAGGAAGGTCTACGGATGACAGAAGGATTGGTTGGAGCAAGGAAGGATACGGACTGGAAAGGAATGGTTCAAGGGCAAGTAGAAGTCACCAACAATCGGTCGGGACGGTCCCCGACACTCATAGTTCTTCTATTCTCCACGAGTGCCAACTTTGATTTACCAATCAGCATCATTTCCTTGATTCTTTCTATGGCATATACGTGTACCACTTAGAAGCAGTTTCTTACTGAAAAGTACCCGCACACAAGTGGCCTTCGTTTGACCTAGCATGTTCAGTTTCTATAATTTTTGCGCGTTCATTAGCGCTGGGAAATAAAATTAAAACTTTGAAAATTCCATCAGAGATGGTGGTGATTTCTTCTCTATAGTCAAACTAAAGGTACAAAAACAAAAGGGCGTAATCAAAATTGATGAATAATTTTGAGGATTTTTAACCGTTTAAAAAAATCTAAACTACTATGAACTGATTAACAAGGGTCAACTCAAGCTGAATGGTACAAATAATAGACCTGCAATGCGAAAACTTTCACAGTTTGACATCATTGTTAGTTTCACCCTTTTAAAATATTGATGCCGAGATGGAAAGTTATCGATTAACCCTGCTATCCGAGCGTAGTTATTTCTGACAGACAAGAAGTTAAATTTTGACAACCGTGGCTGAGTTCTGCTCGAAAACCAATCGATCGGTAACACAATGATTTTCGAACATAAGAAATAACATTCGAAATGTCACTTTTAACCACAAGTTAAATTTAACTCGGCAAATGGTTCACAGCCTTAGAGTACAGTAAGGACGATTTTGTTTACATGAAGTGCCTTCCTTTGTGTTGTCATGGCCGTGTTTCATGTGGCAGATAACTCGAGTTTAAGGTTGAGTTTACCTGGTAGATTATGAGGTGACGGGGTGTGTTTTGGTCAGGGGTTGAAACAGTTGACGTTTTTTACTACACTCGCTTCGTTGTCGTGCGCGACAGTCTGTTTGTATTCGTACACTCATGCTCTACCGTCGTCTCTTTCACAAAACTCAAACGGTAGAATAATATTCTAGCAAAAAGAAAATTATCAAATAACTATCATATGACAAGTGTGATTTCGTTCTAATTTCTCAATTTTGTGTAAATTAAACTATTTCTGATCAGAAATGTTATTACTAGGACATCATTGCTTGCTATTTTTAGAATTCACACAAGCACAACATCAGCAGCTCTTATTATGTGAAAAACTAAAATACACACATTCGTGACGGTCTTCGCCGGCAGTGTCGTATGACTGAGCCTGTCATATGACATTTTAGTTTGGTACTGTACTATGATAGCTTGTTTTGCAAATGTCGGAGGCAAAGGCAGTCGATTATCATAGAAAATATGTCGACTACCGTGACCGCTTACAAGACTGGTTTTGGTGCAATATTTGCCCTGCAATATTAATTTAGATTTGGAATTTTTCTGGAATTCACACTGTTCGCGTACGAATATACTAGCGCCGCCTAGTTGTCGAAAATGATCATCACCCTTAATAAAGATCCCTCGTTCGTCGATTTTCTACGAGTTGTCGTCCCAACAAGATGTCATCCCCGCTGTCGTCCCAACGGAGCAGAGTAACTCATGCAGCATAGTGTTGTCGTTTGTTTACTTCCTTTTTCCGCCGCCGATGAATAGCCCCGTTGTATAAAAGGACCATCCCGCATGGGAAAAACTCTCTTTTTCTCGACTACGACAACGAGGACGAAACCGATTGTGAAGAACCAAAGTGAACCAAGTCCGTAGTTTGTAAAATATTGAAATTAAGTGAAATTAAGTAAAATAAAAGTGGATTGTCTTAGTTTGAACTAAAAGTAAAATGAATTGAACTGCAAATAAAGTGAATGAAGTGAAACGAAGTAAAATTTAATAAATGAACTGAACTAAACAGAAGATTGAGTGATCTGTGAAGAAAGTGCCGAAGTAAATTGAAACCTCTACTGCTCTCTACTTTGATATCGACATCTGGTCCTTCGAACCGGATCGGCCGACGAACTCCGGTCATCTGGAATCTCTTACGCCCGTGAAACCACCATCTTTGGAGCTACTGCCTGGCCACGCCTGGAAGTGCCGAGAACCTTCGAGTTGCTGCTGAAACAATTAATACAAGGCACATAGACTGCCTCGAGGAGATCAAACCCCGTACTATTCCCCGTCGCCATGTCCACGGATCGCCGCTTGAAAACGCTCAAACTTCGCATGAAGAGCCTGCAGACGTCTTTCATGCTTACTAAAACGTTTGTAGATAAATATGTCGACGAACAACATTCCTTAGAAGTCCCAGTACGCTTGGAGAGCCTTACGAAGCTATGGACTGATTTCTGCGCCGTCCAGTCTGAGCTGGAAACTATCGACGAGGCCGGCATCGAACAACTTCTGAAGGATCGAGCCAGCTACGAATCGTCGTACTATAAGGTTAAGGGTTTCCTCCTGTCCGTCAATAAACTGACACCTCCTTCCCCGACACCCACCGCTTCGACTTCTCATTCGAACTTCCAAGGTCCTACATCATCCCATGTGCGTCTACCGGATATCAAACTGCCTGTCTTCAGTGGAAATTTGGATTATTGGATGAACTTTCACGACCTGTACATGTCCTTGGTTCACTCTTCAGCGGAACTCTCGAACATTCAAAAATTTTATTACCTGCGTTCTTCCCTCTCTGGCGACGCCCTCAAACTTGTACAGACGATCCCTATTACTGCAGCGAACTACTCCGTAGCCTGGAATTTGCTTGAGGAGCATTTCCAGAACAAACCCCGATTGAAGCAGTCGTATCTCAACGCTTTGTTCGAGTTTTCCACCCTCAAACGTGAGTCAGCGGCAGACTTACATGCACTCGTAGAGAGATTCGAGTCCAACGTGAAGGTGCTTCAGCAGTTAGGAGAGAAAACGGAATTCTGGGATCTTATTCTCATTCGTATGCTCAGCGTTCGTCTCGATGCCACAACTCGTCGTGATTGGGAGGAATTTTCATCAGCAAAGGACGATGTCTCGTTCAAGGACCTCACCAGCTTCATTCAGAGGAGAGTATCCGTCCTCCAAACGCTTCACGGAAAAGGCGTAGAAACTCCGCCGTCGTCATTGTCGTACAGTCAGCCGAAGAAGTTCACCCAACGCCCGGCGGCATGTCACACCGTCAGCCACGTCAGCACCGATCGAAAATGCTCTATTTGCTCTGAACATCACCCACTCTATATGTGCCCCACGTTCTCGAATTTGGCCATCGAGGACAAGGAAAAAGAAATCCGTCGACTGCAGCTCTGTAGAAACTGTCTACGCAAGGGTCACTTGGTACGAGAATGCCCGTCGTCCAGTTCCTGTCGAAAATGCAAAAACCGTCATCACACTCAACTTTGCCATGGAGAAACGTCAACAGGCGCGAACCATCATCTTACAACATCGAAACCAACAACAACTCACACTACGGAGGAACAGCCACGAACATCAGCCTCTGTGACCGTCACCGAGCTACCTAACTACGCCGCAACCGAATGTAAACAAACCACTGTCCTCCTCGCTACCGCTGTCGTCCTCTTCGTCGATGATAATGGAAGGGAGCATGCAGTGAGAGCTCTTCTAGACTCGGGAAGCGAATGTTGTTTTGTTTCAGAGCGATTCCTCCAAACCGTCACAGTCCAACGAAAAAGGGTTTCCGTTCCGATCTCTGGTATCGGCGAATCGACGGTCAACGCTAAGTTTACAGTTCTCTCCCACATCCGATCAAGAGTCTGTAACTACTCCACCACCGTTGAATGCTTGGTTCTTCCACGGTTGACTATGGACTTACCATCCACCTCCGTCGATGCTTCTACTTGGAGCATTCCACCCGGAATCCAGCTTGCTGACCCAACCTTCCACAGCCGCAAATCAATCGATCTTGTACTAGGCGCAGAGGTCTTCTACGACATCTTCCATGTCTCGGGTCGAATTCGAATTGGCGATGCACTTCCACCTCTCATCAATTCCACGCTCGGTTGGGTGGTTTCTGGAAAAGCCTCCAGTCCACAACCGAAAAGACCACTCGTCGCAAACGTTGCCTCCATCGCCGATCTGTCTCAGATAATGGAACGTTTTTGGACAATCGAAGAAGAAACTTCGTCACCATCCTATTCCGTCGAGGAAGCCGCATGTGAAGCACACTTCCAGCAAACCGTTTCTCGAAATCAGCAAGGTCGATACATCGTTCGCCTACCGGTGAAACCTGACGTCTTAACTTCACTAGGCGACAACCGTCGCACTGCCGTACGAAGATTTCGCATGATACAACAGCGAATGGGAACCGATCCACAACTTCGTATACAGTACGTCGACTTCATGAATGAATACCACGCCTTGGGACACATGCAAAAGGTCGACGACTACGAAACACCTCCCAAACCTTGCTACCATCTTCCGCACCACGCCGTTGTCCGAGAGGAAAGTACGACCACCAAAGTACGCGTCGTTTTTGATGCGTCGTGTAAAACTAGCCAAGGACGTTCGCTAAACGATGCACTCATGGTGGGACCCATCGTCCAGGAGGAAATGAGGTCCATCATTATGCGATCGAGAACCCGCCGCATCATGTTGGTTGCTGATGCAAAGCAGATGTTTCGTCAGATTCTGGTTGATGAACGCGACACCCCGTTGCTGCGCATTGTATGGCAAATTTCTCCCGACTTACCCTTGGACACGTACGAATTGAAAACGGTAACCTATGGGACAGCATGCGCACCTTTTCTAGCCACAAGAGTTCTACAACAGTTGGCTGACGACGAGCAAGACAACTTTCCCCGAGCTGCCGAAGTACTGCGAAAGGATTTCTATGTAGACGACCTTTTCTCCGGAGCAGACAGCGAAGAAGAAGCCATCGAACTTCGTGAACAGCTCGACACTCTTCTTTCCAAGGGAGGATTTACCCTACGCAAATGGGCCTCCAACATTCCTGCAGTTCTCCATGATGTCTCTCCCGATAATCGAGCACTACAACCATCTGTAGATTTCGATCGTGACCAATGCATAAAGACGCTGGGACTGCATTGGGAACCCTCTACCGATTGCCTCCGCTATAGTATTTGTCTCTCCCTCGACCCTGTAGAAGCTAACATCACCAAACGAACAGTGCTCTCTAAAATTGCACGACTTTTCGATCCGATTGGATTAGTCGGACCTGTGGTAACATCGGCAAAACTCTTTATGCAAGAGCTGTGGACGCTGAAAAACAGCAACGGTGAAGCCTGGGGCTGGGACGAGGAATTACCAGCAGCGATCAAGGAGCGTTGGCTGGCCTACTGTGAACAACTACCTCGGCTTAATGACCTGCGAATCGAACGATGGGTCATCTGTCCTACACCGACGTCGATCCAACTGCATTTCTTTTCAGACGCTTCAAAGAATGCATATGGTGCATGCTGTTATATTCGTTCAGCAAACTCTTCCGGCACCATAAAGGTCGCACTACTAACAGCACGATCTAGAGTTGCACCTCTTAAGCAACAAAGCATCCCCCGCTTGGAGTTGTGCGGAGCCCTCCTCGCAACAGAACTGTTCCAGAAGGTCAGAGCATCACTGAACCACACCGGCGAAGTCTACTTTTGGGTGGACTCAACAATCGTACTCAGCTGGCTGAAAGCACCACCTACAACTTGGGTTACATTCGTCGCCAACCGCGTCTCAAAAATACAACAAGCTACTCAGCACTGTGCTTGGAATCATGTCGTTGGTCAACTCAACCCAGCGGACTGCATTTCCCGAGGAACAGAGGCGGAAACCATCCTGCACAACGACCTGTGGTGGCGCGGACCACCATGGCTGCATCTCGAACCCTCTTCATGGCCCAACCAGCTGACGAGCAATATTACAAACGAAATTGCGCTTCCCGAAGCACGCAAACTACCACTGGCAGCGACTGCAATAACCACCGAGCCTTCGTTCGTCGATGTACTAGTGAGCAAGTTTTCGAACTACTTCCGACTTCTACGCGTCGTCGCATATTGTCGCCGGTTCATACGGAACTGCAAGCCATCTGCACAAACAACACATTCCTTCCTCAGCTCAGAAGAACTTGGAGAAGCCGAAGCTACCGTCATCCGATTGGTCCAGCAACAGTCCTACAACGAAGAATGGAAAACTCTACAAAAATTACAACCAGTTTCGCTCAAATCCAAACTCCGTTGGTTTCAACCCTTTATCGCCAGCGATCAACTAATGAGAATCGGCGGCCGCCTAAATCAAGCCCCTCAACCTTTCGATAGTAAGCACCAAATTATCCTGCCAGCAAAGCACGGCTTGTCCACTCTTCTACTTCGTTCGCTGCATGAAAAGCATCTGCACGCCGCCCCTCAGCTTCTGGTCAATATCCTCCGCTTGCGATACTGGATCACAGGGGCCAGAAACCTGGCAAAAACTATCGTCCACAATTGCGTCACCTGTGTAAGAGCCCGTCCAAAACTGCTGCAGCAGTTTATGTCAGAGCTACCTGCCTCACGAGTTACAGCAAGCAGACCATTTTCCATCACCGGCGTCGATTACTGGGGTCCAATTTCACTCCAACCCCCACACCGTCGCGCCGCTCCCAGAAAGGCTTACGTCGCGGTGTTTGTTTGTTTCTCGACTCGGGCGGTACATTTGGAACTGGTTGCCGATTTGACTACCGCCAAGTTCTTGCAGGCTCTCAGACGTTTCGTAGCACGACGAGGACTTTGCAACGAAATCTACTCCGACAACGGGCGGAATTTCATCGGTGCAGCTAACGAGCTACGCAAAATAATCCAAAGCAAGGAACACCATAGCGCTATCGCAGACGAATGTGCATCCCACGGCATCCGATGGCGCTTCAACCCTCCCAAAGCATCACACTTTGGTGGTCTGTGGGAGGCAGCAATCCAATCCGCGCAGAAGCATTTTGTGCGGGTTCTTGGCACTAGCACACTCGCTCACGACGACATGGAGACGCTGTTGTCGCAGATAGAATGCTGCTTAAACTCACGCCCGATTATCCCTCTGAGCGACGATCCGACAGATTTCGACGTGCTTACTCCTGGACACTTTTTGATCGGGTCTGCGCTCAAATCTGTTCCAGACGTTGATGTCTCCGAAATCCCAAGCAACCGATTAGCCAAGTGGCAGCAAATCCAGAAGAACTTCCAAATCATCTGGAAGAGGTGGCACTTGGAGTACTTAGCCACCTTGCAACCGAGAACGAAGTGGTGCAATCCGCCAATCGTATTGGAGAAGGGTCAACTAGTCCTCCTTATGGACGAAAAAACTCCGCCTATGGCCTGGCCAACAGCGAGAATCGTAGAAATACATCCTGGAGCAGACGGAAACACACGGGTGGTCACTCTCCGCACCGCCCACGGCACCTACACTCGCCCCGTTAGCAAGATTTGCTTACTACCGATTCCATCATCCAACGAGAAATCAACAAAACAAACCATTCGTCCAGAAGCAGAATCAAAACACCAACAATAAGTCATCGTTTCAACCAATTTCGTCACTGATGTTGCACTGGTTTCCATCCGGAGTCACCTGAAATTATAAAAAATACAAGGCCCTAATTAATTAGGGACAAGGTAAGCCCCTGTCCAACAAATTATATCCGTAAAACCCCTCTACCGGGTCTTCTATTTTCCATAATATCAATTCGCTGCCGGACTGGATCATCTTCTATCGCCTGACGAGAGTAAACATCGAGGAAGAGTAAACGTCATCCGCCAACGTCAATCATCACCAGCACGGGAGCAACAACAACAACATGCCATCAGAAATAGTGATTTCTGAAGGGGCCAGGATGTTCGCGTACGAATATACTAGCGCCGCCTAGTTGTCGAAAATGATCATCACCCTTAATAAAGATCCCTCGTTCGTCGATTTTCTACGAGTTGTCGTCCCAACAAGATGTCATCCCCGCTGTCGTCCCAACGGAGCAGAGTAACTCATGCAGCATAGTGTTGTCGTTTGTTTACTTCCTTTTTCCGCCGCCGATGAATAGCCCCGTTGTATAAAAGGACCATCCCGCATGGGAAAAACTCTCTTTTTCTCGACTACGACAACGAGGACGAAACCGATTGTGAAGAACCAAAGTGAACCAAGTCCGTAGTTTGTAAAATATTGAAATTAAGTGAAATTAAGTAAAATAAAAGTGGATTGTCTTAGTTTGAACTAAAAGTAAAATGAATTGAACTGCAAATAAAGTGAATGAAGTGAAACGAAGTAAAATTTAATAAATGAACTGAACTAAACAGAAGATTGAGTGATCTGTGAAGAAAGTGCCGAAGTAAATTGAAACCTCTACTGCTCTCTACTTTGATATCGACACACACTTATAACTTACTAGCTGAGTGTGCCCGGCCTTGCTTGGGATTCAATATTAGCTTGAGTTTATGCGCCAATAAAAAAAAAAGCATGCTATATTGTACGTAGCCTCCCCCCCCCCTCCTATCTAAGGGGCTACCATTTGCTTGATTAGTTCTCGAGTTATGCAGAAACGCACACGTACACAAAATACAAACTAAACACAAGGTTAATCAAACTTACAATCTAAGATTAATATTCTTAAAAAAAACATATATGAACTGCATAATCTCTAGATTGCGTCTAGCCAAAATATCCCGAACTTGTCTTGTTGTCTACCTCTAGCCCGAAGGGAATCGTACAACTCGCATCTGACTCCACGTGATCTGCGTCCTGGTGACCTTATCCACATTCACAGAGATTGCTTTCTCCCAGCCCAACACGGAACAAGTGAGCGTTTAACGATTGATTGGACATTAGCCGAGACATCACACGAATGAAGTCTCGACCCACCTCCAATCCTTTGAACCAAGGATACTTCGACACCTTAGGGATGATCGAATATAGCAATCGTCCCAAACTCCCTTCACTCCATTTATTTTGCCAGCTGGCGAGCGACTGTTGAAGATAAATGAAGAAAAACCCAAGCAAAGATGACGACAATGGAGCGAAAAACCTCGACAGAACTGAGACTATCCGTAAGAATAAAATAATGATCTGCCGCCAGCTCAGAAAAATATATGGAACAAGGAGCTTGAAGCATTCGAGAGGCGCTATGAAATTCGTTATAAACACCAAATCCAGCGGACGTCTCTATCTGTGAAGAACGATCTTGCGGAATCAACTTGGCCAAACTTTGCAGCATAAATTGACGGAACAATCATGGAACGATGATGTTCTGGGATCTCACGAATCTCCCACGTCATGGATAAATCAAAATGAAAAGAATTGCCGAAGTCGGAGAAGCAAACACGATAGGGATTATTCTGTGAAGGGCTGACGAGTTTGAGGGTTTAGCTCAAGAAGCTTCTCAAAGTTTGCAATCACCAATGGGTTCATAATTTCACATCGGGTGGTCCTAAAACCGATCAGTGGTAACATTCCTGCCAACACTTCGAGACACATCGTATGAGTCGAGTGCATGCATCCTAACGCGATACGAAGACAGCGATACTGGATACGTTCCTGTTTCATGATGTGAGTTTTAGCCGCCGAATGGAAACAAAAGCTACCTTACTCTAAAACCGAAAAAAAAACTTTGACACAGACACTACGCCGTCATCTGCAAGTTGTCTCAACGTGCAGTTGTACTCTAAAACCGATAAAATCGTTGCCCGGTACAACGTTAGAAGATCTTACGGTTGACCTCCCTACCACGTTCCAGTAATTGTTCGGAGGAAATTGATCCTTTTTTGGCATTTCCGCATCAGATACTCAATGTGGGATCTCCAGGTGCATTTGGAATCGAACCAGACCCCAAGATATTTGAAGGACATAGAATGAGTGATCGGTTTACCCAAAAGTTGAAGCTTCGGTTGTGCTGGGTTATGCTTCCTAGAAAAAACGACCAACTCAGCTTTCTCCGTGCAGAATTCGATACCTAGTTGAATAGCCCAAGTAGACAAATTGTCTAAGGTATCCTGTAAGAGTCCTTGCAGGTCGACCCCTTTGGGCCCTGTGACAGACACTACGCCGTCATCTGCAAGTTGTCGCAACGTGCAGTTGTCACTAACACAATTATCAATTTCTCTGACGTAGAAATTATACAAAAGGGGGTTTAAACATGAGCCCTGGGGGAGACCCATGTAGCTAAATCGAAAAGCTGTAGAGTTTCCATGAGAAAAGCTCATATGTTTCTCTGACAGCAAATTGTACAAAAAGTTATTAATTAATGGAGAAAGACCGTGGAGTTTGTCTGAAAGGAATTTAACCGATACTGAATCAAAAGCCCCTTGATATCTAAGAACACAGAAGCCATTTGCTCTTTTGTTTTTGCAAAAGCCAACTGAATTTCTGTGGAAAGCAACACGAGACAGTCGTTCATTCCCTTGCCCCTACGGATACCAAATTGAGTATCTGAGAGTAGGTGGTTCGTCTCAACCCATTTGTCCAGGCGAAAAAGGATCATTTTCACCAACAATTTTCGTATACACGACAACGCGCGTTGTCCAAAATTAGGTTGGAGAGAAAGTTATATTCCTCCAACGGCCCGACGTTAGTGCTTCATCTATCATATAGTCTTGAACTTTTCCCAATCGATATTACGCGACGCGACGTTAACGGCTTACTAGCTACTGAAACATTGATCGGCAAGTGATCACTACCGTGTGGATGTTGGATCACATTCCACGTGCAATCCAACGATAATGAATTAGAGCAAAGGGTGAGGTCTAATCTACTTCCATTCGAGGATGGACCAGCCAAACGTGTTAGTTCTCCATTATTAAGATTTGTCATATTAAAGTTGTCAAAAATCCCTTTTCTCTTTTGTCAGATGACGAGACTGACTCTGACTTCTTTCCGTTTTTCTGCACGGAAACGAAAACGCATCCGTTCGCGGAAAGTTGACAATCAAGAACCCCAAATCAGGTTGCCCAAATTAAGGAGCGGTGGAAAAAAGGAGACTTCTACTCCTCTTGGATTGCGCAGAACTGACTATACCCAGGATTCTTCACCTCTTCCGGGGACATCCAAAACCCCTGATGCCCCAATTTTAAGAACAGAAACCCCTTCTTCATCTGGGTTGTTCTCATTTGATGACATTGTGGACGGTATTCTCAAATATCTCAACATTTCTGATCCTCTGAAAAGCATTGTTCTGGCCAGTGTTGGCAAAATCAGAAATCAATTGATATTTTTCCGCTCTCATGAGCTATCGCACGCGTGATATTGGAACAAAATATCATGCTTGATATTGATTTTACAAGCTCCTTTGATATTGCGAGACTGCAAAAATCAAGCTGAGAGTTGACTCGACACAAAAATGATTCCATTGCACATCGGTTTTTTTTTAGAAAGAGAAAGCATAGTTTGCTATCTCTTTTTAATATTCACCGATGGCAGACACGAAGGGACTGCTGCAAGCCATTATGGAAGTTTCGGTTGCATTCGGGTGTAAAGCAAAAATCATTAAACTCAATCTCACCACAGTTTGGTGAGATTTGCAGTTGGTGAGTTTTGTTAGCTTGATATTCCGAGCTGCGATATCACAGCTTGCAAAATCAACCGCAGTGGTTTGCTTATTGATTTTTGTCTACGAAAATCAAGCGTGATCTTGGGCGTTGGTGTACCGTGGGAGTTAAAATCTCCCATGATCAACCATGGAGCGGGAAATACCGCACATATGTCGAAAAGTTGTTTGCGATTAGCAGGAGCAATATATACAGAAGCAATACAAAGGCTCTTACCTTTAATGGTAGCCTGACATGCGACAACTTCAATACCGGGGAATTCGGGAAGATTCACTCTATAGAAGGAATGGTCCCCAAAAGTACGTGAATCATCACGATCCAATCGAATAATGTTAAAATCATAAAAAGGGAGATCAGTTTCTGAAGAGAGCCATGTTTCACAGAGGGCAAATGCATCGCAATTATTGTTATGGACTAAATACTTGAACGAATCTAATTTCGGAATAAGGCTTCGACAATTCCACTGTAGAACAGTGATCAAATCCCCGACCTCGTTTGGAAAATTATCCATCGAAGGTGATGATAGCTGCAAGAAGGGGCCATTTTGAAGAAGGATTTCACAGTGGGAAGCAATGTGAGGACAATGCTTTTCAGAGGATCAGAAATGTTGAGGTGTTTGAGAATACCGTCCACAATGTCATCAAATGAGAACAACCCAGATGAAGAAGATGCTTAAAATTGCGGCATCTGGGGTTTTGGATGTCCCCGGAAGAGGTGGAAAATCATTGATATAGTCAGTTCTCCGGAATCCAGGGGGAGTAGAAATCCTCTTTTTCCACCACTCCTTAATTTGGGCAAGCTGATTTGGGGTTCTTGATTTGCAACTTTCCGCGAACGGATGCGTTTTCGTTCCGTGCAGAACCTTCCAGAAAACTGAAAGAACCCTCCTCAACCAAGTCAGAGTCAGCCTCGTCAACTGACAAAAGTAAAAGGGATTTTTGTTGTTGGTAGATGGCGTCCCGTAAAAAAATCCAATGATTTACAATG